GGATGGTTGCTCATGATGATGTTCTTTTTTTTTTATAAGTCTCATGATATTCTTACAATTGATCATATGAAGAGGAGGGTTTTTTTGGTAATAAATAGAAAAGAAAAAATTTTAATAAAAAGAGAGAAAAGAGGTTTCATTTGACTAGTGTATTTTATATTATATGTGCAACAGCATTGACAAAGGCAATGGGATTCTCCGCAAGCAAAAACTCTGTACACACTGTGAAAGCATTGGAATCTGGCATCACATTGGGAACATCTCTCCATGATTTAAAATAAATGTACAGGAGACATTCCAAATGTGCAGTTGGATGCTATGTGAGCAGAATTTTTGCTTACAGGAGATCTGGGCTCATAACAAAGATGTTACGCATCATTTTATTTCATGCAGTATAGCCAAGTTTCTTTGCTGGTTTTCTTCACTGCATTTAGAAGATATCTATGGTAGACAAGGAATCCTAATGAGAATTTTTCTTTATGGCCTATTCTACAAGTAAGAAGGTAAAATATATTCTGTAGTTGTGTGCCAGTAGTCGATCAAGACTACAATCAGTCTTGAATCCCAACTGATTTCGGATTGAGAAAAATAGAAGGAAGAGGAAGAAGAAAGGAGAAGAAGCAGAAGTGCACAAGGGTTTTGAAAGGAGGGACAGATTGAATGAGTCTGCTGCCACCACTCTCTTAATATTTATAGGTTATGTTCACTAAATATAGGAAAGGACAGAACTGCCCTTAATACTTACATGGCAAATAAAAGACTGAAATAACAAGCTGTCTAAGATAACTACCAACTAACACTGACATGACTAACATAGGTTACGCATGCTGTCATACAAACACAGTGGGGACCACAGCCGTGGGGCCCACATCAGTGTTCTCTACAGTGCCTATTGCAGTTTATTGGAGCACATGGAAAGAAATAGAGCCATGAAAGATTATGCACAGAAATAAGAAATATGATCTTGGACTGAATTCTAGTGCATCTAGAATTTAAGACATCTGGAGAGTTTCATTCAGATCATGTGTTCAGTCAACTCTTGACTCTTGAGGTGACAGCAAAATTTTAAATGTTTTTGGTTGTTGGTTTTTTATTTTACTTTTTTCATAATCATTGGATGGGGTTTTATCTCAACATCCATTCCATTACTTTTCTTTTAAAAAAAATTTCCTTACATTTATTATCAAAAATCATGCATCTATAGTGTATGTCTTCCTTCTATGTTCAAAACTTCAAATCCTGAGGTACATCCAGCCCCCTTTACAATTTTATGAAAACCCAATTACAATTTGAACCATTGATAATTTTGGTTGTGAACTTCCCAATATACTGGCTTTACATGTAATGGTGCTGACACAAACTGGATTTTGTGATAAGGAATGATTTGGAAACAATAACAAGAAATAGGAGGCCAGTCCGCCTTGCACAGGTGGTCACGGCTCCTACTTCTGATGCAGCAGGTCTTGAGTTTGACTTGAGACAAGCAAATGAGTTCATATCCGAATTCCAGTTGAGTATTGTACTGGGAGTAGCCTCCCCAAGTCACAGTCCTTTAGTGCTAGGGCTGTCATAATATAGTTGATACAGCTGGGTACAGGTTCTATATTGTGGTCCAGATTATCCAGTCTGATCTGGGTTTTTGCCTATTAAAAAAATAAAAAGAAATAGGAGAAGAAATCAGGTGCATCTATGGTTTCAAATGGCTTTAACATCAACTCAATACAATGATCCAGATATCCAGAAAGAGTTTAATCTTGGTCTAAAACTAAAACAAATCATAAAAATGAAAAAGAGAAAAATAAAGGGATTTTAAGATTCAGGAAACTTTTGCCCCATCAGGGAATTCATTTTGATGATATTTTTCTAAACATCATCAAGTATTAAAACTTAATGGCCTAGAACCAAAATACCAGTGACATTTTAAAATTTTCAAGATATTAGCAAGGCTATATCTCCAATGTTTGGTATTGTTTTGTTACCGTAGACAAGAAAGGAGAAAAATAATTGGGGATGTACAAAATAAGGATGTGGGAAAGAAACAATCATGTCTTCGAGGATAGAAGGAAGATATCATTTAAAATATGGTGAAAAAACAGGGAGGCAATTCCGACTTTACAGTTGATGTGATGAGGAATTAGGGGGCAGTGGTTGGGTCCTCAACAAAAAAGCAAAGGGCAGTAAGGATCTCTTCTGGAACCAGGTTTTATTAAACCAATTTTTCATTGGCAGCAGTTTTGGCAACCCGGAACCTTCAGGATTTAAAGGGGTTTTAAGGAATGAAAAAGGAGAGATACATGCAATGTTTTCAGGACCGATTAGGGATGGGAACTCCACAAGGGAAGAGCTGTAGGCAGTTGTGTGTGGGGTGTAAAAAGCTATGGAATTGGAGGTGGAAAAGCTAATAGTTGAAAGAGATTCAAAATTTGTGATAAGTTGGTCACTGAAAACAAAGAAAGTTTTGTGGGAATTCAGGAATTAAAAAAAAAAAATCAAATGGTTCACAAGAAATATCTAGCTGAATATACAGTGGGTACAAAGAGCAGCAAACAGCATGGCAGATCATCTTGAAAAAGAAGGAGCTTACCAAGAATTTTTGGCCTACACTATAAATCTTATGTGGGAGAATTAGAGGGTTGTTTTTAGTTTCAGTAACGGATTACTCTGTTTAGAATGGATTTTTACATTGTATTTGTGTTAATGCCATAACTTTCTAGAAAGCTGAGGCTAACAATCTCAATGGGTGTATCTCCCCTATTGTTTCCTTAATTTTTTATGCTATTCATCACAAGAAAATAAGATATGTTGAACATCTAGCAGTACTGGAAGAACTAGATGATATTGGCTGAGTATAAACATCATAATTGAAGATTCTTTTTACCAAGCAGTTTGAATGAGGATTTGATGATGATGATGATGGGACATCTTTGATTATAATATTGAGAACTATTTTATTTACTACCTTAAAAAGAAAAAGCATTGGTGTAAAACCATAGTTCATTGAAGCTCAACCATATAAAATTACTATTAGCCTCAGTATAATATGGATTGAAATAAGAAACATAAGAAAAAAAAAAAATTTTCAAGGAGGCATTATCAGAGAGTCCATATATGTGCACGTTACTTATCAATCAGCAAGTGATATGTCTATATGATATATACCTGGAGTTGAAACTTGAAAGGGATTAAAAAGCACTTTTTTTTATTTCATGGCACCACAAAACAGGGGAAACCATCCCCCTATCTATACACCCCCCCCCCTCCCCAAACCTTGGTGACAGGGTGATGCAGGAGCTGAAGAGGAAAAATTGGAATTTTATGAAATTTTATGCATTTCTGTATTTTTGGACAGTAGGGGTATTTTTGTCATTTTGCAATTTTCTGTGGGGTCCAATTATAGGGTTTAATTTGTCTAGTTATAGTTTATTTATGTTTAAAATTTCAGAGTCATTGCATAAGTAGGATTAGAGGTATTGAGTCTTCTTTGAATTGAAATAGGATATGACAGCTTAGTTTGAGTCTTACTAGGATTATTAAGTCTAACACTTTGACTCCTAAGACTATTATGAGTCTAACAGTTTGACCCCTAGGATTATTTTGAGTTTAGAGTCTAAATATGTATGGACGTTTTACACAAAGGCAATGAAACATATTGAGTTTTCTTTAGCTTATGCTAGCTATGGCGAGTGTTCCCATGCCCTAGAGTGATTCTAGGCACCCTGTGAGTGATTCCAGGTATTTTCTCTCTTCTTTCTTTCCCTATTTTCTCTCTTATTCCTTCAAGAAGCCATTACAGCCATCAACAACCATAAAACTCTGACCAAGAAGACCATTCAACATTATCTAAGGACTAGAATTGAGCTGGTCCTACACCACAGGGGGATTTGATCCCAAGTCTCCACTACAACCAGCCAGAAACTTACCAACTGAGCCAGTTGGCACCATCCAAAAAAAAGGATCTTACCCCCCCCCCTCCAAACAAAAGAACAAATAAAAACAAGGAAAGAAAGTAAAAACACAAGTAATCTCTGAAGAAGCAAACAAACTTTTTTTTATCAATAACAGAAATTCATTAAATTCATAAAAGATTAGATACAGCAATCCAGAGAGAGCTAAAATGGCTTAATCCTCTCCAAGAGAGTAACATAAGAGCGCACAATACAGCCCAATACAATTGATCCCTTCCCACCCCCTGCTTTGTCAAAGCATCTGCAAACACATTCGCTGTTCTTTTCACCCACTGAAATTGGATGTCAATCCCCATAATTAGCCATTTGATTTCCCTTCTTTCATTAGCAAACTTCAAAAGAAAGTGAAGAAGCAAACAAACTCCTAATTGATGAAACAGTGCTGTTGATAAATCATGTCTAACATAAATAATTCATAAAAATGGAGAGGCACACAGGAAAGGTATTAAAAGAAATACTTATTTATCAAAATATTGCTAGGTTTAATGGTAGAATCTCAGGCTAACAAGCATGAGAATGCCAATTCAAGAGTGAGTGCATCCTCTTTGTACCCAAAAAAAAAAAGAAAAAAAAAAGAAAGAAACGAAAAGAAAATTGCCGAAGATAAAGTCCATCTCCAGCCCACCCCTCCCAATACCCCATATAGCTGGGGGCCAACATTGGGTAATGGCCCTTTTATGTATTTATCCAAATACTACCATCTTGGGATATTATGCTTTTTTTTCATTTTTGAGAAAGTAATTTTATGCATATTAACCTCAGAAAATATAACTGACTTGAAGGGAAACACAAAAGACCAACAGTTTTTGCAATCTTTCTATTGAACAGGCATACAAGGCACACCTTTCAGGTTTCCTTTTCTCCTACTTCTGTATTTTATATTAAGTTGAAATGAAAAACATACTAGAACAAATTCTACTTATTAATTTAAAACTTTAAATGAACTACAATATGAAAAACAAGGGAAAATTATCCTTTCCTACCAAATAATACCTTTCAACCAAAATTTATCATCCACTGGCACAGGGATTTTACCTTCTGTTTTTTAAGCCTTTCATTCTCCTCTTCTAGACGTGAAACCTTGTTCTCAAGCTCATTGGTGTATGCCTGCCCATAGCAAGATTCTTTTAAGGGCACGCTCAAAAGAAATAAAATCAGTAGACCACTAATTTTAACAAGATAAACAGAAGATCCACCTGCTTCCTAGCTCGTGACCGGGCTGCAGACTCCCTGTTCTTGATCATTCTCTTCTGCCTCCTCTCAACAGTTTTCTCAATCACATCTCCAGGAGCAACCCGTTTCCTTCCAGGTGTCTGTGTATCTGACAGTGTCCCCATCAAGGGGGATGGCATAGCTAATTGATTGTCAGGGTATCCTGTATCCAGAACAGGGATTGCACCAATGGGAAGTGGCTGTGGAACCGGATGGCCTGGCATGTAAACCCCCATCATATTTTGCGGCGGATGTTGAGGCTGTTGTTGTTGCTGCTGCTGCTGTTGCATTGGAGGGAGTGGGTACTGCAACCACTGAGCTTGCTGTGGGAAACTTTGTGGGGGAGCTGCACCTGGGTCAACTCCCATAACAGCACCTGCATTTTGCTTATCTGAAGCTTCAGCAACAACCCCTGCTTTAACCAAGAAGTCTTCTAATGTCATCTCACCAAGAGTAGGCTGTCTTTCCTGAGCTTTTTGTTCTTCATTATTCTTCTTCTGCCCTTGTTGGATATCTCTCCATACCTCATCTACTGTCTTCTTGCTCAGAGCCCTCGTCAATGTCAGGCTTGCCTGACGTTGTAGAGCAGATGCAGAAGCAAGTTGGCTGACTGAGGCAGAACCCTCCACATCTATCCCCATCCCCTGGTTTGCTTCGGCCGTCCAGACATTCTTAAGAAGCTCATCGAGATTCATACTGCTCAGTGGTTTCCCCAAATCCCCCAATTGGTTCTGAACTTCATCAAGTGTTAGGCTATACAACGAGCTTTGCCGAGCCAACGGCTGGGACTGGGATTGTTGTCCAGCACCACCACCACCTTGAGACCCCATTGTTTGAATCCCCATTCACCAACCTTTCACCATAAATTCGTCATCCCATAAACCAAACCCAAGATGCAAAAACCCTAAAACCCTAGTATGGGCAACAATTTTTTTTTCACGTCGTTACTGTTAAGAAATCCACCAAACTCAAGCGAACAAATAGAAACCTGAAAAAGCCCACAAAATATGTCAAATGGGTTAACTTTTATTATCCTCTGAAATGAGCTAAAAGGAAGTTTCCTCTTTTCTATAAGATTTTCCTGAAAAACCAAAAAAAAAAAAAACAAAAACAAAAAAGAAACAGATCAATAAAAGGCCTTAAAATGGCTTAAAAGATTTCATCTTTTCAATATAGAACGGTTAAACCCAGCTTGCAACCTCGATCGACACCCCTTCATACCTTAAAACCCACCAACCCCATTCCTAAAACTCAAACCAAAAACAAAAGCAGAAACTAAAAATTACAGGTTCCAACACCCTCGTACTTCAAGAATTAAGATGGAAAAGGAGATCACATTTCCCCCCAAAAGAAAGAGCATGGCCAGAAACCAACCAAAATTAAACCAATACACAGAAGAGGAAAAAAAGACAAACATAACATCAAATTTTAGCAGCAGTACCCAGAGAGAAAAAACAGAAAAAAATGAAAAAATAAGAAAAAATCTTCAAAACATCTTGCATGAAACAAATATCAACATTCCTGATGGAAACACAAAAAACCCAACAACTATTCTGCAAAGAAGAGGCCAATGAAACTCTTAAGCTATTAATCACACCACCACGAAGTCTTCCCAAGAAGAATTGATCAACCACTGCAAGTTAATCCACCTATATTCTAACACCTCCCCCCACCACCATATAAAAATAAAACACTTACTTGCAGCAAGATCCGATCTGAATCTAAAGAACCACCATTGTTCTTCGGTTGTTATTCATGGAATCAGCACATTTGCAGTGGGACTGGGACAACCGAAATGGAACCCAAATGCCAAATACCCATTTTTTTATCATAAAATAAACCCAAGTTCTTGGCCTCTATTTATATGCTCAGGCCTTTGCATGGCCCATCCCCACTTAAGTGGACTTTTGTCTCCCTTTTAAAACCTGGAACCTCAGACGTACTCATAGTAATACTTTCTTTATAATAGCAGCCCTGAGACGTACCCACAACAATATTTCTTTATTCTTTCCTTTTTTTGCTTTCTCAAAATTTCTTACACTAAAATCATGAAGATGGTCTAAGACATGGAATAGCTCAAGCTCGTAGCATATGCCCTAAATTGCGTATTGGGTTGGGTTCATGTTGTTGAGACTTCATGCCCACCATGGAACCTCTAAAACCTGGCTTCTGTTTGCCGGTGTTAAAGAAACAAAGGAATATAGAATCTGTTTGATTTGTAATTAGAATCAGAATTGGAATAATTTATTTTCTGTATATTTGGTTTAAACAAGAATTAGAATCAGAATCGAAATTAGCCAAAATGGGACTCTCATTCCCAAAAGAGGGGAGAGAACGGCCATTCCCTCAAAAAATGTCATTCCAAAACAGAATGCTGAATTCATCCAATCAAATGGCATTAGTTCTCATTCCAAACCTCTATTCCCACAAACGGACCCTTAATATATGGGATTTTGGGTGCAAAATAGTGTACAATTTGGTTTTATATATAATATATAGATATCATAATAAATTATTGAGTCATAGGAAGAAGATAGAGAAAAAGGCTTAGCTGTGTCAACATTTTTTTAAATGGAAAAAAGAAAATTTGATTTTTATGGATTATTCTGAAAATAAAGAAATGAGCATTTCTGATGAATGATGCTTGAACCACATTCTAATCCACTCTTTCTGGGTTTTTAATTAACGACAGTTAAATATTCAGGTCTGATGAAAAGTTCAGTCATTCTTTAATTTAAACCTTGTTATGTGAGGTCTCTATCACCTGAGGACATAAATTAATGAATGATGGCATATGCAATGGGAGTTTTGGTCAAAACATATATGTGGGTTTCAGGGCCATTTGATAACTCCGCACTTAGCAATAGAATTACTTCTTAATTTGTATTTTAATGGATAAGATAATCACGTAATAAAATATTTATGAATAAAGAAATCGAAAAAGGAATTGAATTCAGCCAATTCAGCAGTTATCAAAAGGGCCCTTTTGACCAAAATAACCTCTTGTTTGGGAGACTTGATGTATAATTTGGCAAGTGGGTAAGGGACATCAAAAATCATTTCAGTAATTTCAGATAAACTAGGTTCTACAGTTGAAAATAACAAAAGAAAAAGTCTAAACAAATCCCACTTTTTTATGGAGGAGTACATTCCTATGTATTGGCTTTTTGTCATTTCAATCAGTGTTTGTTTGTTCTTTTACTTAAAATATATATATATATATATATATATATATATGAGAGAGACTCAAATCACTCCCCCTTAATTAATCTTAGGTTGTGTTTGGTTTGAAGAAAAAAGTAAGAAAAGGTAAAAAAAACCTTTATAAACTTTGTATAGATTTTCAAAACAAAGTAAGGGGGAGTGAGAAAACATAACCTTAAACATAACTTTTAATGAAAATCCTTTTTATATTGTAGATAATAAAAAAAAATGATGTGCCCAAATTAATCCCCTTCCTAATTAAACAACCCTTCTCTTCTATGCTCCGTCACCATCACCTTAACAATTTTGTCCTTGGATAAGATCTGGTACATCAAGCTCTAGCTATGTCCGCAGAGTGATGCAAACTTTTTTTTTGGTGATGGGAGTGATGCAAACTGAGTGCAGCAATTGCAAAGAACTGCTCCCATTAAATGCTAAAACATCAAAACAAAAATCATTTAATATCCCATTTCATGCATATAAGGAATCTAGGGGCCTGTTTGACTGTTTGGGAGGGTTGGAGCTTTGCTTTAGTTGCCATTAAAGCCATATTTTTTACTGTAAGATGGTTATTTTGAGATTTCAGGAATTTTCGTTAAATATTGTTTGTACGCTATCCCGGTAAAGCCCATCTTGGAAGACCTCCCAAACAGGCACTAAGCAATATTGTAGGGGTGATTATTGATTCGGAGAAGATTCAGCTAAGCTGATTTGGCTGATTTGAAGCATTCTGAATAAACTATTCAAAGAGACTGAAACGGGCAACCCTTTGACTGACCGACAGCCGTTTTGAATTTTGCGAACTTTACACCAAACATAGCTTATAAGCTGTCTATGTGGGATCCATCCAAACGAGTACCTAAAAGTAAATGAATTAACTAGTTTGTTAGAGACCTCTAAAGAAAATTTAATTATCCACTCAAAAAAGGTATAGTTTTTATTTGTTTTGCTCTTAATTATATGTCAAGTTGGGTTAAACAATTATTATGGAACTTGTTTAATCCAAACTTATGATTGCTTAGTTAATTTTATAAACCTTCAGACCAAACAAATTGCCAGGTCCCCACCAGGTTAAATAAATGACATTTGCTTAAAAATCGGCTTGGAAGGTAGTAGTTAATACCCCTACTATTTTATGTCAATACTTGCACGTTGCAGCCTCTTGTTAATAATCAATACAATCATCCCAACATTTAGCCAATTTGTTTTCCTCTTCCTCTCAATCTTTCTTTCTATCACACAAAACTGCATAATTTGTTTAAGGTTCATTGTTATTTCTTTGAATGATGTCCGAGTTCGGATCTGTTCATCCCAGAGTGTGCCTCACACAGACCTCACAACACGTCTCAGCTATGCATTTAGAGTATCTTTGTAATTGTAAATTTTTATTCATGTAAAGATGTTTTCAATAATAAAGTAGAGATGTTTTCAATACACTGATGAAACATGTTGTGAGGTCAGTGACTTGTTGGGACAGTGTTGGGAGCCTTGATTGGACATTCTGAATTCTTTTACATGATAGACCCTCCTATGCCCACATAATTAGTAAGCTCTAGAACACCCTCTTAACTCTTGGAGGAAGAGATTCTTTATTTATATATTTAGTGGGTGAGGTAATCAAACTAGGCTACCCCAAACTGAACCAAAACCCATTTGCTAATTCTATCCATTGAGAAAAGATTAGTGGCATGCTCTCTTAGCTTCTTGAAAAGTGGAAATGCATGTTGAAGATTTCCTGCTGGCCTTTTCTTTTTCACTTCAAAAGGGAGAATTGAGAATTAGTGCATACTAATTACAATGTAGAGGGTATTTATCCAAAAGAACTTTGTGGGGTTAATGCTTAATTATTTAGAAATGAGCTTCTTGATGCATGTTAACCAAAATGATTAAGAGAATCACATTTCTCTACAAGTCAGCTGTACAATTGTAGGTACCTGGTGGTGAAAATCAACAAGGAAGCTGCATATTTGCATTTAAAGAATGCTGGTGGGTACCTGTACAATTGTAGGTACCAACATCTCTATATGTCAGCCAAGGAAGATGTGTCAGGACTAACCTTTCATGTTCTTCTATATAATCAAATCTATATCTATACTGCTTGGAGAGTGAGGAAGTTTTGTTTAATTAAAATATTTCAATTTTTAAATTTGGTCCCTTTCTAAATTTGATGACAAAAATGTAATTTAAACTATTACTTTTCACCTTATTTAATTCCCTCTCATTAAGTCTTATATTTAAAGTATTAACTTCCATCATCTTTCATTGAATCTTGTTCTTGACTAAAATGCCCTTATCCTTTAATTTGGCCCCTCTCTACTTGTGAGGGCATAAAATGTAATTTGAATTACTTTTTACCTCACTCAATTCCCTCTCATTAACTCTTAGATTTTAAGGTATTAGTTTCCATTATATCTCATTAAAAATCATATATTTAATCTAAATTTTCTCACTAATAACCTTATCATTTTTTGCTTCAAATAAATTTTGTCAATTAGATTATATCCAATACTTTCATATTTAAAATGACAACATTCTTCTATCCTAGTGGTGGTAAGTAATTCAACTATCCAACATTCTAATCAGTTTAATGAAATCTGATCTTTTATTACCCAAAAAAAAGTCAAATGGATTCACCCATGATGTCATAGTTAGTTTTTTTTGGTATTTATAATGTCATAGTTAAATTAATAATTTTTTCAAATGGAAATAAATACAAAAAATTACAAAAATAAAATAAAATTATAGAAATTTGGGCACATCTCTAATCTTTTATGTTAATCATACTAAAGAAAAATATGTATAGTAAACAATAATAATTGTTTTTATTGATGTTGAAAATGAAATACAAAAATTTAAACCGACCTCAAAATAAAATTGTTTTCCTATTTGGCAACAAGTCAATAATTCAACCTTTTTGGGTCAAATGTATCAACCCTTACTATCATAATTAAATAATAAATATTTAAAGTAAAGATATAAACACAAAAATATAAAAAAATACAAATATTCACCAATATTTTATATTAATCATATTAATACAAATAAGTGTGATAAATAAGACCTGCTTTTATTGATGATGGAAATAAAATATAAAATATAAAGGCAATCAAAAAATTAAAGTGTTTTCCTATTTAGAAGAGGGTCAACAATTTAACCTTTTGTGACAAATGTGTTAACCCTTGATATCATAATTAAATAATAAAAAATATAAATAAAGATAAAAAGTAGAAAAAAATTATAAAAAATGCATAAATTGTGTAGAAAACATTTGGGTGCATCTCTAATATCATATATTCATCACATCAAACAAAAAATTAAAAAAAATGTATAAAAATCTAGGAACATCTCTAATATTGTATTAATTACAATATTTTATTAATCATATTAAAGAAAAATGCGCAACATAAAATAATTATTTTTATTCATGATGGTAATGAAATACAAAATTCAAAACTAACCCAAAAGTGAAATTGTTCTCATGTTTGGTGGTAAGTCAAAATTTCAACTTTTGAGGTCAATTATATTAACCCCTGATGTTATAATTAAATAATAAAAATAAAAAAAGATAAAATTATAAAAATATATAAATTTTGTAAAAAAAATCATTTTGAAACATCTTTAATATCATATATTTATCAAATCAAATAAAAATAAATATAAAAAATAATTATTATTTTTATACACACTA